AAAACTGAAAATATAAACAAACTCTAATTCAAAATATGAATAAATACTCTAATGGTATATAAATATTAAAGTACTAAAATAACCAAAACCGAAAAAAAATAAATAAAGAATTAAATAAAAATAATAATAAAAATGACAAAAGCTAAGAAAATTACTAAAACGTATTTATTCATTTAAAATTTACAAATTAAAATGAAAACTGAACATATCAAAATCTAGTTCAAAAAATGTATAAATACTACTACTACTATTTATAAATACTACAAATATACTACGACGGTATATAAATGTTATGAAAATAACACAAAGGATGTAAAAACACAAAAGGTATCATAACATTGGTCTATATTACATTTTTCTTGTCTTCTTAAGCTACATGATAGCTTTGCGTGATAAACCACAATTAAGTTATTCCAGTCAAGTGAGTTTAAAAAAACTTTAGAGCGAGTAAATGAATACAGAATTTCATGTTTGGATGAAATGTTTCTTTAAACCCAAACTGAAATCCTTATCTAACTCTCATAGCTTCCATAACATCAGCTTTTTTGATCTAATCCTCTTTCTTATAATCCTTCAACACAGCTGCTGTGAATTTGGCCATGTGTGCTTGTGTGGACTTCATGCGGTTCTGTCCTCTATATAAAATCAGAGGTGAGGACACTCCAGAGAATGACTGTGAGAATCTCATTCCCAGCGGTACACGGCGTCTGGACGGAGGTGCCGGGACAGAAACAGAGAATGCAACATTTGCATTTAAAAAGGTGACATTTGCGATGCTGGTCTGGAGGCGCAGGCATGAGAGGAGAGACAGGTGCTGGGATAGCCCATATCTCGGTGACAGGAGGATGACAATGAGAATGTCAAAGCCAAGAGTTAGACAGCACACCAAATCACACACAAACACACAAGCTCAGAAACGAAGGCCGCTGTCCAAAATAACCCTGACAATCCACCCCCTCATCTCTCAAACCCATGTGGAGATAAATTGGTGGCTGTTCGAATCGACTTTTACCTCATACTAGAGTAATTACGGGAAAACAACGACTGGAAATTGTGATATCTGTTGTAGTCGACTTCAAGTTGCATGCATTATTTATGTGAAAAGTGGAATAAATTATAATGTAAACACAGACTGCTTAGACCTGAGGAACATATGATTAGTGCATTGAATTGTCTTCATTGTTTGTGCAGGCGGGTCGTTTGGAGTTCATGTGGCGGTGAAGGTGCTGGGGCTTGTTCGCTCTGTGGTTCTGATTGGCTGCGCTTGAACAGTGAACTACTAGATGCAGAGTGGAAAATGTGAGTTAAAGAATTTCAATGTTTTCTGAACAAGGTAAAATGGTAATGTCAATGATTTTTGGCCATGTACTATGGGGTAATACGTTTCTTTAAACATGTGCATTACCTGCCAAAAACAAATATTTTGAAATATTATTGCAATTTCAAATAACTGCTTTCTATTTGAATATATGTTCAAATGTAATTTATTTCTGTGATCAAAGCTGCATTTTCAGCATCATTACTCCAGTCTTCAGTGTCACAAGATCCTTCAGAAATCATTCTGATATGCTGATTTGCTGCTCAATAAATATTTCTGATTATTATCAGTGTTGAAAACAGTTGTGCTGCTTCATAGTTTTGCAGAAAACATGATACGTTTTTTTTCTTCAGGATTCTTTAATGGACAGAATGTTCATAAGAACAGCTTTTATTTTAAAAGGAAATCTTTTATACATTATAAATGTCTTTGCTGTCATTTTTTCCCCAATCAAATGCATCTTTGCTGAATAAAAGTTTTTTTTATACACACACACACAACGAATCAGGGTTATTAGAATTAACTAAAACTAAAACTATTTTAAAAGGTTAGTTGAACTTGATGTACTAAAATAACTAAAACTGAAATAAAATTCACAAAAACTACATAGACATATATATATATATATATATATATATATATATATATATACACATAAGCGTCCGCATGTGTGACCAAAATGCGCTGTGTAAATTAGTTCAGAGCATGCGTTTGCGTACCGACATGGTTGACAGCTGTTAATGCACAATAACCATTTTAGATCGACAAACTGTACTGTATACGATTTCTATTCAAACTGAAAGCATAAATCATTTTTTAATGATTAAAAAAAGCATAAGCATAATAATTATGCACACCTGAATATAAGACATTTTTCACTTACAGCCTTCATGAATAATTATATATCAATTATAAATGATTAAATACAAGATCAATAGTAGTTATTAAGATTGATGTTGATTGGAATTGGTAAAATGTGCTTGGAAAAAAATATGATCAGAATATCAACTTGCATAATAATTATGCATGCACTGTATTTTTCCTCTTCCGCTGTCATCAGCAATGCAAGGAATGTTGTGACTGGTTGTCAAGGCAGCCAATCAGAATTTAGCAGCCTTGTCTCTGATTGGCTGGAATTACGGCATATTGTAACGCTGGGTTGTGTTGAGCAAGCGAGCCGTTGGCATTTAGAGAGCACTGAGGGCGGGCATCAGGTGAGCAAGCTAGTGAAATGTTGCACGCGCAAAAGAGAAGATCTGCACAAATTCAAAAACTTTTTCAAACAAAAATTTTCGTGCGCTCTAAATACTTTCTTCTTTGCAAGACAAACATTTTCTCCACAAAACTCAGATGGCACGCGTGGAAAACGCACTTTTGCGCACTGAAAATATGATCTTTCGTGCGCAGAATTGTGGCAGAGTTGTAATCCCATAGGAATATAGCCGTTTCCCTGGTAAGCGCAGTAAACAAAGCAGCGCAGCACCTGATTTTGCAACTTGCAGCGCTCATATTTAATCAGTTAAACATAGCCTTTTGAAGTGTAAGCTATATCTCAATTTGCATGAGTATTTGTTTTTTTCACCGGAGCACCACCTGAGTCTTCTCCTCCCGTCCCATTTCTACCAGTGATCCTTTCCTTCCCGCGGTACTCATCACTGTTGTAGGTTGCCAAGTTGTGGGGACACATGGGTTGAAATTTGTATGTGTCGATTGTGTGAGAAGGATGCGTTTCACACAAGATCTGGCAGCTGGGCAACCTTGGAATTTGTTGACGTGATTATTCATATAATGATATTTGGGCCATACAAATTACGGGAGTTTTACCGGAGGCGAATGTAGCAAACATATAAAATACGCCTAGTCGGATTTTTTTATAGAAAGATTAGAAATACGGGAGAAATACGGGAAAATATTTAAACGGGATTATAGCGGGATAGAATGGTAAAATACGGGAGAATCCCGGGAAAAACAATATATATAAATACTGTATATATATCAAATTGAGTGATATTTGGTAAATGATTATGTATAACTCTGAATATATATTCTACAAATGATATGTATCTTAATTTGATTAAAAACATAACTGGTGTGTATTGTGCTGGCAGTCCTACAAAAACCATGAGTCTCTGAGTCTCAGGTGCTGCTTGTTTCCAGCAAGATCTTAATTTGGGCCTCTGCCTCCTGGCGAAACCTCAAATGTGCAAATATCTGAAAGAATCGCAGTGTTTAAGGTCTCTAATCTTGCTGAGTTTATTTATTGCTGCTCGTCGCAGCCAAATCCCTTCCTCATTAATATCCATTACAGAAAAAGGAAAACAGTTACTCTAGGTTTGCATCCAAATGTACACATTTTAAGCATATGTATTTGGGGATATTCTAATATTAAGGCATTCCACAAGCTTGCCCCCATTTCCAAATACTAACAAGCATCTCATATTTTAATACTCCTCCCTTGAAAGACAATTCTACTTAATCAGGATCTTTCATCTCCAGTTTCAGTCTCTGTGTTCCCATGACTGCTTTTATCAGAGGAGAAAATTATGGGCCAACTATTACCCAGAGTATAGTTTTACAGGCAATAAATAGCATTATGCGGTTGTAGGCGCAGTTTTATTCATTAATTCATTTGTTTTATCTTTATTTTGGAACGACTTTGGGATAAAGAAGAGGCGGAAATGAGAGCATTAAACACCCAAAATTAAAAATTCTGTCATTATTCACTGTTGTCTACTTTTGTGATGCTTTTTGCCATTTTCAAAGCTTGAGAGAACTTGGTCACCATTCACTTTCATTGCATGGAAAGGGCCAGCATTAGCGTTCTGCTATATTTCTCCATTTGTGTTTCACATAAGAAAGTAAATTATAAATGTTCAGGTTAAAAATTATAAATATTCATAGAAAGAAAAAAAAACTTTTCTTTTAGAAAACAAGATTTATTTATTTTTATTATTATTGTTTTAATATATATGAAATATTTTGCAAGCTGCAGCAGAGGGGATTTTCACTGAATAACAACATTTGTTTGTTTTTTTACACAAAATTATCAACTTCAGAAGACTTGAAATATATAGCGTTTGATTTACACTGATTGTTTTCATGGTGCTTTTTGTCATTTTTTGGGCTTGAGAGAAATTGGTCACCACTGACTTATATTGAATGGAAAAGGGCAGTGTTTACATTTTCCTAAATTTCTCCTTTTGTGTTTCACAGAAGAAAGTAAGTAATAAAGACTTCGGTAAGAGTCAATATTCAGAATTTCATTTTGGACGTAAAATATTAAATAAATATTTTTCAATATATGCAAAACAAATGTTGAGAGCTGTGGCTGATAGGAAGACTTTCAGTGAATAACAACATAAATTGAATCTTTTCACACAAATCTTTTTTACATCATATAACTTCAGAATATTTCAAATATGTAGTGCATGAGTTACAAGGACCTTTTTGTCATTTTTTGTCAGATTGAGAGCCTTTGGTCGCCATTCACTTTCACTGTATGGAAAAGGGCAGCGTTAACATTCTGCTAAATTTCTCCTTTTGCGTTTCACAGAAGAAAGCTAGTTTTTCATAAAAGTAAATATCCAGTATATTCCTTTTTGGACTGAATAATTTCTTTAAGAAAAACAGGAGACTTCTTGTGTGTAAAGCTGACATTTCCAAGGAAAGAATGAAATCTTACCTTCATTAACACGGATTCGCTGAGCTTTTCTCGGTTTACGATTTTTATGGCGACTTTCTGACATGTGACACAGTGGACCCCGAGCTTTACGAGACCTGGAGGGAAAAAGATAGAAAAAAGAAAAGGTGAAAAGAAAAATATTGGTCTAATCACTGGTCTGCAACATGGCTGAGCAATTGATTCGCTCACAATTTAATCACAAGTGCACAAAACCCCTCTCACAGGCCATTTCTTGTTACACACCAAAACGCAAGCATGTTTCCCTCGGCATCTGTGAGATGCTTCATTCATATCTCAAGACAAACAGCGTCAGGTGCAGCAGATAAGCAAAACTGTGAGAGGAATTGATGGCGAACAGCTACCTAAAGGCCTTTCTGCTTTATCACTTGTGACGTGGAGTTTCATGGTGCGCGAGCAGCTCAAGGAAATCATTTCTCCGAAACACTTTTATTAGTCAAAGAGCTAAATGTTTACAGGCTTTACGCTTCATGCTTCCCCTTCACTTCTCAATACTACAACACATTCAAGGACTTTCTAAAGAAAAATCTTTAGCATAAACACCTCGGGTCCTTCCGTGATTGTTGAGTAAGTGTTCTCAAATGAGACGAAAGCCACTAAAGACGATTCAGCAAAGTTTTTTGCTGCTCTACACCTAATTCAATTTGAATTGAGAAGATAGGGAGGGTTGGACGTCTGCGCGAGACAAGATAATGAATTTTTCATATCCTAAGGTGCAAGTGTATCGGAAAACTGACAGGAGCATAAATGGAAAATGCTGTGATTTGCAAAGATGCAATGAATGTTTTTGGTTTGTAATAAAGTGTAAGAACCCCCACCTCATCCCAACCAAACCCTCATCCCTGATGACACTCAACAGACACTCCTGAAGAACCTCTGCTCTCATGGGACTCAATGGCTCTTTATGAGCTGTGGAAAAATGTCTGGTTTTGAAGAGTCTTAAGATGGAGAGAAAAACTGTCCTCTGCTGAAGAGAGGATGGAATGATGATTACTAATTTTATGCCTTTAAAGGTACTGGACTGTTCAGTATATATTATATTTATATTACATTATATTATATTATAAACACTATAAAGATGTATTTGTATAGCACAACAAAAATCATAATTCGGCTCAAGTTTTTCTGTTTGCTATGCGTGTGAAGCAATAAGTGGCAGATGAACGTCTCGGTTACGTATGTAACCCTCGTTCCCTGAAGGAGGGAATGGAGACGTCACTTCGGAGGACCGACAAAATTGGGATCTCGCTTAGAGGGACCAATCGACGTTCCCTTTCAGTCGGTCACTCTCGACGTCAAGTCGGAGGACCAACGAAATTGGGATCCTACCAAAGGGCCACAGCACACTGCCCCTTCCAGTGTCCTGTGGAAGCCACCTGCGCCCCTATTTTTTGGCGTAGGCCAGGGCTTCTTCACAAGAGGACCAGCTACTGCTGCAATGGCACTACCCAATGAGTAAGACTGGATAACACTGGGAAAACGTACCCGTTCTACTTGGAACAGGGGCGTTACGGAAGCTCGAACCTTCCCGAAGGAGGTTTCGGAAGCAATACACATATGGACATCCCTTAGGTGCATATGGAAGAATGGAGGTGATTGAACCCTCTTGGAATGGCAGAAGTCTGCCGGGGAAACACGGGCTCAAGGCTATACCGTGGACTTTACACATATGAGATCCATTTAGGTCTTACATATGGAACCCAGCCTCCTACCGGTTCTCGAGGATTCAGCGAGGGA